AATCCGAAATCCGAAAAACGAATTAGGGGATGATTTAAAAATATGCTGACTGGTCAGTGATTCGTCGTTAGAGTCAAGCACTGATGCCGAAACTGTAATTCTGTATAAATTTTTGAAAAAAAAAAGAGAATCGATAGAAAAAAAAATTGCAAAAAAATAGAAATTTTTGCACATAAATTCAGTAGCAACATTTTAGTGACGTTTATATGTTCCATTGAGGATGGTAAGTGTTTTGCGGGAGTCTACGATATTCTGATTTGGTTCTTCGACGTACGAGCGAACGCTACAGTGCTACCCTGTCAGCCATTCGCATACTATCAAACCCCAAAGCCCCGCGGCAGATGCCAGTAGACTCTCGTAGGAGTCTTACGTCTTGGAGTCGAACTTCCCGTTCTGTTGCTGGGTTATTGGTAAAAGTTCCCGATATTCCGGCTGAATAGAGACGGTAGGTACGTACTTCCTAGATATTTCCCAGGTTGGCACAACGAGGGAGTTTCGCGCCTGTCGACTCCACGTACGTGAAGAAAAAGGACAAATTAATAAATATCCACCGAAACGTGAAAAAAGGTAATCATACAGATACACAGATACGTGCCCAATTAAAAAGCTACAATCGCGTTTTATCGTGCCACACCAAAGGAAATATATAAATTGATTAACCCATTTCAACCCAATTACCCATCCATCTAATAATTCCGATAATTCGTAAAAATAAATGCGTACCATCCGTACCCTGTTATATCCATTGAACGTAAACAACGAAAAAATGCATAATTAGTATGTATGCATAAAATAGTTACCGTATATAATACGATAGTGTGTAAAATAATTACTGTTATACAGCTGTGATTACTGGGTGGAGTAGACACGAACGTCATTTACAAAAAAAAAAAAGAGTTTCAAATTCACTCCAGAATTAGTGAAATCCCAGGGTATAAACGAGAGTTGACGGAGAAAGTATATATAAATATATAGCGAGAAGGATTCTTTGATAGAATTGAAGTAATTCCAGCGAGTGTCGGACAGAGGCGCAGGTACAGATAGGGGTTGGTTTATACAGTTTGTATTCGCAAAGGGCGTTTACGATTACAGGGCAACCCCGTTAGACGGCCGTAGTCGAGAGATGGTCCCCAGTTGAATTTGGGGGGTGGTGGGTTAAGGGAGGTGTCGTTTGTTTTTATACGAATCGTAAAATCTCACCGAGGTTGACTTCACCTTCAGACTATTTTTCTCGCCCCCCCTCCGCCCCTTTCACGTTCTCATCTCGAAAGACGTAACCCCATTCAGTGATAAAAACCCCTATATGTCTACATACGTCGTCTCTTCCATACGAGAATAACCCGATACATACACGATCATCTCCAATTTGCTATAAAAAAAAAAAAAAAAAGAAAAAAAACCGGTAAACGAGCAACGAGAGTCCATAATGATTTTCGCGTGCAAAAATTGCAGATTGGCACCTAAAGCTTGAATTTTCATGTCGCAGTAACCTTAAGGCGAATATGGATTGGGAGTTAGCATTTACCGCGATACAAGTGGCAACGACCTTAATTTAACGCCTTCCAAGTATAGAAAACAGACTCGCCGTACCGCGACGTGCAAATGAGCGTAAGAGGTACGAAAGAGAAGGCGTAAAAAATAAAAATAAAATTGAATGCCTAGAAATAAAGTCCAGTCGTCGTTTTCGGTGTCAGCGAGCGGCCCTTTAAAGCGAACACTCAGCCCGGCATTCACCCATTCAGCATTTTTCCCCCTTGATACGCGAAGGAGGTTAGGGACGACCTAACCTGACCTAATCTATTTGGGCGTCCCTCCAGCATCCCGATACAAGCGCAGATCGGCTGGAGCGACAAGAATAGAGGATACGTAGGAGAGAATGGTAGGACTGGAGACCGCAGAAGGGAGGCAGTAGACGGGGAAAAAAAAAAATAAATAAAATCAAGATAAATAAAAACGTCGAGCGTTAAATCTTCCCGAAGTTTTGTAATGTCCTCGGAACCTTTGAGATACCCCGTTATCAGTGGCTCCTCGAAAAAATCGAGTAAGTCAGTGACCCTTTGTCGCACTTAAAATCCCTTTTTTTTTCCTTTTTTTTTTTTCTCTTATCTATGTCGGATCAGAGTGCCTCGAGAAGAGAGATCAATGACGTCATCGATCTCAGGCAAGCGTAATTTTCACGAACTAACACGTGATCGGTACATTCTGCCAGCTGACAGGACGAGACGTCAACCCAGGAGGTTGCAGGTATTGTGAAGCACAGCCGTGGTTGCAGAAGGGAACGGGAGCCTAGTCATTCGCTGGGAATCGATAGGAATGTAGGTCGTGGCATTCTATCGACGGACACTTCGCAGCCCCTATTAATAGTCGTCGGCTACTTAATAATTTCCGTAGTGTCGAATCAGCGACATCGGCCATTACAGCAAAGGAGGACGCCGTAGCGTCGCTGACCATACCCAAAGCACGATCGAAGACGTCGCGACGCTTCATGATTTCAAGATCCCGGAGCATGCATTTGTTTGAGACTGTCAAGAAAAAAAAATCTCTACAAATTTCACGCTCGCGTCAATGTTATCAATGTATGACGTCAGAATCCCGATAACCGACACACTGCCTTCTTTCATAACCCGTACAATTTATAAGCGAACAGCAGCCGGCTTTTGCAATCAATTCATTAAAGAAATGGGGACGGTCGAAAAATACACGGCAATCGTCCCGCTCGAAATATTCTGATAACGAATGAATAGCTCGTTCGAGAAAATGGCGTCGATTAGAGCAGTGACCAAGAAAGAAAAGCGAAGAAAAAAAATTTCACCAATTTTTCGTTTTCTCCCATGCACCCAGACAACCCACGAATACCTGTTAGCTGGCGATCGGTGTGATTATTGGCAGTTTCGACAGTGCGGAAGAGACGGAGCAGAGGCGTGCGAGTGATAACAGTTCCTCTTTTTTTTTTTTTTCTTCGATATTGTTATCGGAGAATCGTGATAATGCATGTGCAGCGTTACGAGTAACGTGTATGTAAAAATCGTGTGTGCTGACGTAAAAGCTGTCGAAGCAAATACAAGCAGCGCTCATACCGCAAGCGGATAGAAAACGAAATGAGAATAGGGCGGTAAATTCAACAAAAAAAAAGAAAGAAAATAAAATTATATTATTACGAACATATATTAATAATTATAAAATAATATTAAACCGAGTAATCGGAACCAAGATATATACTTCGTTAAAATTACGTAATTAATTCAAGCTCGTAACGAGCAGCTGCTCACTCACATAGGTAATGACAGTGAAAAGCATTACGTAATATACATATATATACAATTTGAACACGATGAATTGTTATCGTTCGCGGTCCAAATCTGACAGGACGTATGCATCACTGTGAACCTGCGGATGCGTATCTATAGATATAACGTCGAGTACAGTCATATGTACCAGAAGACCATACACTCGGCGACAATTGCACGTGCATGTGCATATGCAAATGCGTCACACTCCACCAGGAGTTTATGGCAGTCGCGTGACGCTTGGACTCCCATTCATGACGTGTTGTCATTTTACGTACGTAGCATACACGTACCGCGTGTGCGGGCGGATGCGCCTCGTCGAATGTTCGCAAATCGTAAACAAACGTCAGTCAACCGTGTATACAAAGTCGTATTGCCGAAATATTAAGAATCAAGTATTTCGTAGGTGTGCGCGTACGTTAAAGAACAGCCCGTGAGAATTGGGTCGAATTGCAGTGCAGTCGGGAACGAAAGAGAAAAAAAGAAAAAAGGAAAGGAAGTACCATAGGAATATTTCAAGCGGGAGATTTAAATGGCGTCTGCTCTGGCGAAAGGACTGTCATGATTTGAATGGAATTGAATGTACAATATATCCGTGAGCGTAAACCTGTTGCAGGATACTGGTGTACCCCGGTGCCTAACCGCACGGGAGTATCCTAGTAGAATAAACCGATGCAGGAAAGAGGAACAAGTAGATAATTAATTTTTCAAGTGTCTATGCGATGCCAAAGTAAGCTTGCGGATAAGACCCGGCGACCTCGTGTAAACGGCGGGAAATTCAAAATATTCACATTAAAACTATACAGAATGGCTTGGGGACTGTTTGTGACGTAATTTTATGTAGTTGAACGGGGAATTTCATTAATTATGTGTGTGTATGTGTGTATATATATATATAAAAATATGTCAGGCGGCAGTTTCCAGGCCATGCGGCATTCAATATATATGTGTATATATATATATATATATATATATATATATATATATATATATATATAAGTATGTCAAACGGCAGTTTCCAGACCATGCGGCATTCACAACAGCAAGGTAATGTTTTTAAAAAAAAAAAAAAAACTAGACCTTGGGACATGTAGCATTGGAATTCTAACCTAATCTAGCCTAACGAACAACTTCTTAGCCCATCACAACTCGGAGTGTCCAGCATCAAAAATTTGTTGAAAAATTCGGTGTGAGTGCCGCCAAATGGCTCTGGAAGTATACGTGTTACATATAGGATTTTTCCAGATCCACCCTGGAAAATACCAAAAGTCCTCATAACTGCCAATACACAACAAAAAAGGTCTTGGAAACCACCTAGTGATATTTCTATATATATATATATACATACACAAACACGTATATAAATATCAGCAATTCCATCAGCTGGGATACGAGTTGTTATAAGTGATATTAGAGAAAATGGCGAGAACGTTAATGACCAGGGAGAGCATGAGAAATTGGGACTCGACGTGGGAGGAATATAACCTCGGACTCCATCTCGTCACAATGCCGAACGAGGGCAAGGACGATTACCAGGAGGAAACGTTTCGCCGTCGGACAAGCGGCACGGGTGCCACCCTTTCGAAACTTTAGCACCGCCGTCCAGCCACATAAACGGGAGTCCATCGAAAACGTACCGGATCAATTCTATATGGGATTTGCGCGAATGATCGATGCTTCGTTTCGAAAGTAAACAATGAAAATCGTACTCACTCTCGTCGGTCTGAGGCGCCGATAGAATCGCGCTGTGCTTCTTCTTCACCTCCTCGACGTTCGTCTGGATCTTATCTATCATCTCGCGGATCTCCTCCACCTGTAATTTAAATTATACGTAAGTCGTCTTACGAATACAGATAAAAATTTATCTTACGTCATAGATATTATTAATTATACAAACATTGACAACGCTCGTGTACGATTCGAGTGATCGGGTCGCGTGTTACCGAGGACAACGGTGGATGAAATTATGTAGAATTTCATATGGACGATGCCTATATAGAAAAGCCGTCCGTCATACATATATATATATATATACTAAAGATAAGCGTAGCTATAACAAAGGGTGTAATTAACCCCTGAGAGAGAAGTGCGTGGCCAAGTGTGACGTGACTGTGCCACGTAACCTAACCAGCGCGTAGGAGGGGGGATCGGTGTATAAAAGTAGCGACGATCCGAATTTATGGTCTGAGCCGGTTCGCTGTAACCCGCGTTGCTCTTTCCTTCTCTTCGTCATCCATCTCTACGTCTCTCTCGCTCCTTCTCTCGGCGCTAGGACAATTTATTACTTACCCCAAAATTAAAGCCCTACCTTCCCTTCCGGACGAGTCGCGATGTTTGAGCGGCTCTAAATGCCGGCGAACAATCTCAAAATTAATTAAATAATATCATCCCTCTGCAGACGTCCAACCCTCCCGCTTTGACCTGCCTTGGTTTGTCATTGTATCTCCCATTTTTCTCTCTCTCTCTTTCTCTCTCTCTCTCTCTCTCTCTCTCTCTCTCTCTCTCTCTCACCTCCATTACTTCCTTCTTTATCCACTTTCACTCTTCGGCCCATTATATCTCGCCAGCGTCAACTCGATCCTCATCCCCCGTTCTACCCTCAGCAGTCACTCGGATGACCGTGAGAATAAGATGGCCGGATACGTAATGAGTCATGGGGTTGGGCGCGAGATCGTTTTGGGTAATGGTACCTAATTATCGACAGGCCCTAGTCTTAGCAACCCCCTGAACACTGCGTTAAGGAGAAAATAATTTCACTTCGTTAAGTAACCCTCGAGCCACCCCTCGTAACCCGTGCAAACAATCAATGCATAATCCCGCGCGTCTTTTCTTCGTTATTATTTCTTTTAAATCCATCCCAGCGTTATATTGCAATTTTTTTTTTAATTTATCATCAGCCATTTTGTAATTTCGCGTTACGTCGTATCGTTAACGAACGCCTAAGATCGCTGATCAAACGTAAACTGAATTTCTATTACCCAGCTTGAATCGAGCGTCTCAAGTAAATTCTATTCCCAAGCAACGATACCCTTACGAGACGTATCTCGCGCTAGAAATGAGTAAAAGTCCGACTCTGTGGGTTTTCAAATTTTACTCCGAAGTCTCAGTCACCTATTCGAGATACGCGAAGCTGCCAAATAAAATACACAGCAATAAAATACAGAAATACACAGCGAACGGCGTGCGATTCGATTGGTCGACGCAGCCGCCACGTTGTCTAGCGTCCAGCCGAAGGTTACGAAAAGATAAAATAAAACAGCAAGTATCCACTGTGGGTTCATCGAATTCGTATGGTAATTGTGCGCGGCGTTCAAGAAAGGGGTGCTCCCTTCGTTATTCATGCCAGAAAGACGGCCGAAGCTGACTCACTAGAGTGATTCTAAGAGCCAGCCAACATATATACATATATATATATATAGAAACAGACATAAGCTATAGATATACAGATAAACATACCCGTAAACCTATAAACACAGCCACAGTATAAATCCTTAAACGAGAAACACGGATCGGAGAAACGTCCTATCAAATCAATAGTTACGTCCCTGCAAATTTGCTCGGCCGTGTCTACATACGTATAAACATATCGTTTGGTGGGGGGATTGAAAATGATTTGACATTTCCCAAATACAGGTTTAGCATGATCCAACCGTGAATTAAAATTCAATGCGACGCAGCATCAGTTGCATGCTCCAGATCCTTCGACGACCGAAAAGTCAATAACGAGCGTGTTTCGGTGATAAAAAAATATGCGTATGGTAAAAATAAAAATAAGCCTCGAGTAATTTTATCTCGGCTAATTAAAATCTTGTCGATCGATATTGAATTTCGACTTGAGCCGTAAATACGCGAATCGTACCAACCGGACGGTTAATATAGCTAGGTGCCGTAGAGAGGTTGGCTCAAGGGTCCCGACCGTCGGGGGGGTGTTGGCGAGTCTCATTAGTGCCACCGTGTATTATCCCCTACACCTATCTACCACCATTCCACCATTTCACTATGCAAATCCAGTCTTCCTGTTACGGC